CCTGACCTATTTAGTCTCATTGAATAAATGGAGAAATGGGAAAATGGCTTCTTTGTATTGTTAGTGACAACTATTAATACATTGACAAAGATTCTTATTCTACAATATGGACATTAACTTTTTACTGGATAATCTCTTTTGATCTCAATCAAAAAATAAGTGGAAATTCATATTTGAATGACCCCTATAGAATAGGTTTGAGACCTGCTGATTCATAAATTTCTAATCATGCTTATAACTAGAAAGAATTTTAATGACATTTTCTTGTATTAAACCAATCAAAACCAAAGGTTAAACAATAAAGTGCGAAATCATCTTGAAAAAGGAAAGACTATCTTATACCTAAGTGTAACTTTTCGTACTTGGTGTATAATCATTATTGATGTCAATTAATTTAGCATTTCCTGATTCTTCTCCACATTTGTTTTGTCATTAGAATCTTCTTCAGCTCTTCGATTTTGCTAGAACACTATCCTAGTGTAATAAAGATTGAATTGATTGACGAAATGGCATCCTACTGTTTATAAACTCTCCAAGATGTTTTGTATTTTCTTTATGATCCTTGACGAGTAGACACGATAGGTTTTTTCAATTTTGGATTCATTTGTGAAAATTAGCTGTTTAATTTTTTACTTTTCTCGAGTACTATGTGTAGATTTACACGCCTTGTTAAATGATTAGATCTGTTTGTTCTAAGTAATTGAGTTCATGTTAGAATTCTTGTCATGGTTGTGCTAGATTTTATGATTAATAGCTATCTTTATTTATGGACTAATTTATGATATGATGATTCATGATTTTAGTTTGATTAAACTGTGTCGGCTTGAGGCATTTAATTAGTTTTAACTTGATGTGCTTTTGTTTTAATTGATAAAGTTATGTTGTTTCAACTTATTTATCTAAAATGTGTCACATGTAACAAAGAAGGCAATCTTTTTTACTTAATGTTTTCATAAAATGGAAAAAGAATTGATTGAGCGATTCCTATTGAGGCCGTTGAGTTGAAGTGAACTAATTGGTGGAACCAAAAGAACGATAGATGGTATGTCTGAATCTGATTTCCTAGGTTTTCTCGTTATGAAATGGTTATTTAGATTATTCTTTTTATACAATGATTCGGTCTATTAGATTATTCTTTCTATTATTTTTTATCATTTCTTTCACTTAATATTTTATTTGATTGGAGTATAGTTGGTTGAAAATTTGCAAGGAACAATAGTAATTCATAAACTATGCCATTTTAATGTTGTCATAATATTAGTTTATATTTTTACCATCATTGAATTCATGGTCGAAAACTCAAAGTCCGACCTTGATGAAATTTCACTCGCACTGGAACATTATTCTTAGTTCCTCCCCTACTATTTAGCTAGTTTTTTTCTTCGAGTGCCAATGGAAATATGGGTTTTCAATATGTTAATTTTAGATATTTTGGTTAATCTGTTTTAGAGTTTTCTATAGTTTATTGATCGAAAGGTCTACAAACTAAAATCTATGCAGAAACTTGAACATGGTTTTAGTGGAAACTTGTGATTGTAGCAGAGTGACGGTGGTTAGCTGAAATCTTCACGTCTTCTTTAGGAATTATGAAAATGTCACCCTGCCGTTTATGTAATTATGAAAATGTCACCTTGCTGTTTATCTTTTTTTAAAATAGATTGTACTACGTATCACTTAGCATTACTGTAAAATCTTCATATTTGTTCATTGATAACTTAGCATGATCGTTTTATGTTTTTATCACAGAAATGGAACGCTCATTTGAGTATGTGATTCCTATTGAACATAGAATTAAAGGCAGGCCTTCGCAGAAATCTTCCCTTCAAAAAGTTGACTATGTTTCGAGAAATGTTAGATGATGTTCATCAAGAAATGCTGATGGAATCTTGTTTCAGACAATTATATCGAATGAAGCGCATACCATTTTCAGCACAGCTAATCCACCAACTTGGAATGAGAATGATTGAAACCAAAAAATAAAATGAGATCTGGTTTTTAATAGGAGGTAAGCCAACACAATTTTCATTATACGAGTTCTCATTGATAATAGGGTTGAGAGCTAGTGAGAAGCCTTCGTTGGAGCCACATATTGTGACTAATGATAGATTGGTGAAGAATAATGAGAAATATCCATATTCAATTTATGAATTTCCACTCGCCTTGCAGGTAATGCTTTTAAAATTATAATTTATTATTCATTTCATTTAGATTGTAATATTTTGCATTTTATGTAGATTTGGGCCTATGAAACCATACCATCTATTGGATGGAGATATGCTGAGAATCTAGAGGAGGTTGACCTCCCCAGAATATGTTGATAGAATTCTTCTGAAATGCCTAACTCCAAGGATGTTGCTGCAAGTCTAGACGAAACAAATGTAAGTAAATTTTAAATGTACATCAAATTATAGAGTGTACTTTATGACAACTAAGTGGGCCTCTCATTTTTCATATAGATTGTTGTTTATTGTACACTGAAGCCTACGTCGCAAGAGGCTTCTAAAGCATACTGGATGGAGATTCATCGATTCAAGGATGAAGTAGAGGATCCAACAGTTGATATCTTTGTGGATAAGGAAAATGTAGCAGATTCGACCATTCGTGTTGATTTTCCTCAGTAAACTTCCCAGCCTCCTAATGCCTCTATATCTCTTCGGGATCCATCTTTCTTTCATAGGCCACCTGCTTTTACAGATGTTCATACATTTCATTCGGGACCATCTATATCATATCCATCTCTTTATCCATCTAGAGATGAGTTCGCTCAGGAATTGAGAATGCAATTAGTATAGATAGTAGAAACTTTAGAGAGGAAAATTGAAAGGTGGATAGATGAGATGCGTTCTTACATAGATCAAAGGTTTGATTGTGTTACATCTTTGTGTAGACAAATTGATAAGAATGTATCATCTGTTGTGCAGTGGATTAAGAATTCTAACCCGTCAACACCTTACATATATCACTCTCCTCCTCGTAATGGATTTATGAATACTGGAGAGGCATGTGATCTAAATGAGGATCCACTTGTACATGTAAAATTTAAAATGATGAGAATGAAGATTGCAATGAGCAGAGAAAAGTAGAAGATAAAGTGTTGGTAAATGAACCAGTTGTTGTTGAAGAAATAACGTCACCCGTAGATGGCAAAGAACAAAAACAAGCAGCTAATATGAATAACTGTCCAAATTCAGTTGAAGTGGAAAATGAGAAAAAACAAGCAACTGATTTGTCGAATGATGATCAAACTCGTGTGGAAGAGATAGATACCTATGTACCGATGGATTCTGTATCACATGGTGATGTAATGGAGTCCATCCCTACTGTGGTGGAATATGAGTCTGATGACTCAAGTCATAATGGACGCAAGATGAAAATCAAGAAAAGGTCACTTATTCTTCGATTTCAGTTTACAAATTCGGAGAAGAGGAAGAAGCTTGATAATGTCAATGTATTTGACCCATTTCGAGAGCTAAATCTGGCTAAGGCAGATGACTTAGATAATTGGTTGGTTAATGCACATGACAGGTAATTATTCCTATATTAATTATTTTTGTGAACTTGTAATATATGCTCCTATGTTATTTGTTTTATGCAGTGAACATGTGAAAATAATATTGTTCACGAAGCCAAAAAGTTTTATTTTTTGTAGAATTTCGAGAACAAATTGGATGGCTCGGTAGTGATGTAAGTATTTTAGCATTCTATATTCTGCTCATACTTTATTTCATTTTTAAACGGCTTTATACATTTGCAGCACATTGACATAGCATTGTACTTGATGAGGGCACGAATACAGACATACCCTACTGTTTTCTAAAAGATAATGCAATTTTAGGTTGTGCTTTTACTTACATGTGCAACAAGAGGTTTGTAGATTTTGAGCTACCTAAAAAAAAAAGGCTAGTACAAGACTTTAAATGGTTGAAAAATATGTCAAGATATATATATGGTAAAAGTTCGGACAAGAGCATATATCATTGTATATTCCTTGCAATGTGGAAATGAAGCATTGGATTGCACTTAAAGTGAGCATTGCTGAACGAACTATATATGTATATGATAGCATGAAAAGTTTGACACGTTTTGGAAAATTGCAAAAAGTCATGCGTCCAATTACGAAGGTGATTCCTAGAATGATGAAGGAAAGTTTGTTATTTGAGGAAAACTATCCACAGAAGCAGTTTCTTTAGCGCCGACGTGTAGATGTTCCACAATAAAACGATGCGTATATAATCTGTCTTTAAATTTTTTTTAGATTTTCACTCATTTTGAGAGTGCATATATTTATTATTACAAATATCTTTGCAGGGGAGATTGCGGGATATACGGTATCAAGTTTATAGAACTTTTATCGGTCGGATTAGACGTGAAACTTATGTCCGATGCTATGATTGGATGTTGGAGGAAGAAACTAGCCACTGAAGTTTTTACTATGCATTTCGATCCATAATTATTTTCTTTGTATATTTTGCACGTCTATGTGGTCAGAAGATATAGAATCTGATGCCATTTTTGTCTAGATGGTAGTTTTTAAATGATTTAGTTGGAAAATATGTGCATGGATGCTGATTTTGTCTAGTTATATTTGGATATTGATCAGTCTTTCTATAAAATTTATGGATGTTGATTTTGTCTACTCAGATTTGGATGTTGATGAGTCAGATTTGGATGTTAATTTTATGTAGTCAGATTTGTCTAGATGGTAGTTTTTTTGTATGTTGATAAGTCTTCCTATGAAATTTTGTTATTTTCATTATATGGATGTTTTATTCAAATATTGAAGCAGACATGGTTGAAAGGGAGATGCAGTTTTTCATGACAGCTTATCTATATGGTGATGAAAAATAACTATTATTTGAAAAATGGCAGTTTTACGTTTAAAACGACCAACGTGCCATTTAGGTCATGGGGTCTAGATTTCATTGCAAAACAGGGTTTGAAACATCTTAGATCACTTGTCTAGGTTGAATGAGCAAAAATGATGTGAATTGAACACTGAATTAGAAAATGGCACCCATACGACTGAAGTGTTCCCCTACAGTGCTCCAAAATGTGCTATGTTTTGTGTATCCTAAATGGCAGTCAAACTTGTAAAAGGATCGCATGTGTTGAATGATTACACGTGATGTTTTTGTATACCATATACCTTAAATAGCACCTATACGAGTGAAATGCCAATATGTTGTTTTGGTCAAGGAGTCTCGAATTCACTTCCAACTAGTAAAATAATGTTTGAAAGATCCTAAAAACACTGTATGTTGAAAAAATGAGTGTAGGTTTAAACCCTATACCCTAAACGCTAGACCCAATACTCTAAACCCAATATCCTAAACCCTAAACTACAACCATACATTTGAAACGATCATATGTCGTTGGAAACGAATAGATGATGTCATATAATTTCGAACCTTCATTCTTCAATTTTCAAGTGGTTACGGGCTTCATTACACCAAAAAGACATGAAATGAGTAGAAACGTCGCTCATACATTTGAAATGACCAAATACCGTTTTGGGTTAGGAGGTATTGGTTTCACTTCGAAACTAGCACAACCGTGTTTGAAACGTCATACACGTCTTGTACACATTGAATGACTACACGTGCTATGATTTGCATACCACACTTGTCACTTAGGTTGTTCTTTATTATCAAGTGAAGTGTAGTGTAGAGAAACTCACTACAGTTTGGACAAATGTGTCGATCGTAATGACGAAATTTAATTCAAACTTCGTCTTTCAATTTTCAAGTGGTTACGGGCTTCATTGCACCAAACGGACACGAAATGAGTAGAAACATCACCCATACTTTTGAAATGACCAGATGCCGTTTTAGGTCAGGAGGTAACGGTTTCACTCCAAAAACTAGCACAACAGTGTTTGAAACATCATACACGTCCTGTACACATTGAAGGACTACACGTGCTATGATTTGTATACGACACTTGCCCCTTGTTTTGTTCTTTTTGTCAAGTGAAGTGTATGGTAGTAGGTTCCTACTGACTATAGAGAAACTCACTATAGTTTGGACAAATGTGTCAATTGTAACATCGAAATGTAATTCAAACCTTTGTCTTTCGATTTTCAAGTGGTTACAGGCTTCATTAAACCAAATGGACACGAAATGAGTAGAAACATCGCACATACTTTTGAAACGACCAGATGTCGTTTTGGTCTAAACAAACAGTCCTGCTGTCATTTTTGTTAGAAACTGATTTACAAATCTATCAGAATTGATCAAAATATTATCACAATGTAAAGATTAAATTAACGATTAATAGCCATCCATCTGTAACAAACGTGAATGAATAAAAATGAACACGAAATGAGTAGACATAGCACCCATACATTTAAAATGACCAATGTAGTTTTTGTCTGAACAAATAGTGCTGATGTCATTTTTATCTGAAGTTAACTTACAAATCAATCAGAATTTATCAAAAAATATCACAATGTAAAGATTAAATTGACAATTAACATCCATCCATCCATAACAAACGTGAATGAACAAAAATGAACACGAAATGAGTTGAAATAGCACCCATACATTTAAAATGACCAGATGATGTTTTGGTTTGAACAAACAGTGATGCTGTCATATTTATCAAAAATTTGTCTGAAGTAGCTATCAGACTTTGTCAGACAACTATCGTAATGTATCAAAAATCATTGTAATCTATCACAATTTCAAGATTAAGTTAAATAAAAAAATTTGTATGCATCTATCAACTAGTGTAAAGCATTTTTGCAAGTTAGATGATTATGGCCCCTCTGGCCACACCTACTACATTTAAGAGTCTTTTTTTCCTCTCCTCTTGATGGAATTCAATGATTTTTTGGACGTCGACTTTGTCATCAATTCGAAAGGGGTGGTAACACCTTTGTTTGATTGGATATTTCCCAGTCAGCCTCATTTACCAAAGGATATATACATTCAGCGTATGCTTGTTTCCAACTAGTACTGGTATAATAAGGTGAGCATAAACTGTAAAAAGATATTCCCTTAAATTTTGTTGCTAGAAGTGCATATGTGCAAGGAAGTTTTTCCAAATTATATTCCCTACAATTACAGGTTCTTGCCTCCAAGTTAACGATATACATTTCATTTTCAACACCAACGAGCAACTCATACACATTTATTGGTACCACTATTAGTCCCTTTGCATCATCATACTTTTTATGCATTTTATCCTCAATGGGTGGGGTTAGAGTAGTTGTACCTTTTTCAACCTCAATGTGTATCTCATAGAACCATTTCTGTAAAGTTTTTCTTATTTGCTCAACCATAGCAAGTACTGGAAACTCCCAAGCATTCTTAAATAACGAGTTCAAAGATTCCGCATTGTTAGTTGTCATAATATTGTAACGGATTCCTTTGAAATGTGCTCGGGACTTCATACCCAACTTTCTTTTCCAGGTATTCTCCAACTATTGAACTTTAATGATATAGATTTGCCATTGATTTTTCAAAATTAATCAAACTATACTCCTTTGCAGTTGCCATAAACAATGGCAAAATATCGATCTTATGATAATTGGACTTTATGTTTAGTTATAGAAGCCACATGCAACATTCATAATGTGTATAAGGATAAACAATCTTTATAGCATTACCCGTACTATCCTTGCTATCAACAATGAAAACAAGCCCTTTCAACATACCCATAACCTGAAACAACTTATCGAAAAACCAAGTCCATGATGCATCGTTTTCAAAATCAACAATGCCAAATGCAAGAGGATATATCTAAAGATTTGCATCTTGACACATGGCAACAAGTAACTTACCTCGAAATTTGGATTAAGAAATGTTCCATCCACAAAAATGACATGTCTCGTTGATGACTGAAAACCACATATGTTGGGTCCTAAAGCCATGAAAAAGTATTTGAACCGGTTCTCATTATCAACCTTAATGAACGTCACTGTATCGGGATTATTCTTCTTCAGAATATTACAATACTTGGCCAATCTATCATAACTAAGATCATGTAAACCTCTTAATAGCTCTATAGCACATTCTCTAGTCATCCATGCCTTATAATAATTTATATCTATGCCAAACTCCTAATGAATATCAGTTTGAATGTTCGAAGGTCTGTATTTAATGTTGGGATCCTCAAACCTCGACATGATGCGTTTTCCAATCATCCAACAACTAGCTTGTCTATGATCTTTGTGACAAACATCCAATGAGCAATTATGATAACGTGAATACTTTCGAATTTGAAATTCCTCACTTTCCTTCAATTGTGTTGCCCGCAAACGTCATTCGCAAATTTTCTCAACACAAACTATTACATATGTACTCTTATTTGACTTAGTGACCTTAAATTCAAAAAAGTTTCTTACAGCAAGCATTTGCAGTGATGCCTAAGATCCTTGTTGTAAAAAATTTGGCTAACGTGCACATCATCAACGTTAAGAATCTTAACTGATGTTCCACAAGGATTCGGACAGTGAACAACTTGTGAAATGCCAATAATCTCATCTTCTAATATAAAAGGTGTATTATAAGTAACATTATCTTCATTTATCACATGAGAATCATCTATGTAGTTGCCATGCACTACTTCTGTTGCATCCCAATAATCATCACTAGTAAAGTTCACACAATCGTTTTCACAAATTTGATTACATGGAGACAACAGTTGCATATAATTGTCACTAGACTCATCTTTTTGCATAATTCAATTCATCCATGTCCACCGCATTGTCCACAACAACATTTGAATTGTATTCATGATTCTTCTGAACATTTGCAATATCAACCTTCGTTTCTTGTTGATCAACATAACCTTTTTCCACAAGGGTTACACAAATTGGAACTTTGTCATGTAAAGAAAAAAACCAACTAACATCCATATCACAAGTAATCTTCATTGGTAGAACTGATAATTTTGCCATACCGGGAACGAGAAATTTCATCTCAATGTCATACATATTGGGATTAACCTTAACTGCCTTTCGGACTTTGTCATACAACTCCACATATGAGAGTTTTTTATACAAAAATATTTGTTGCGGTATCTTCATCATTCCCTATCCATTTCCAATTCCATCCACCTTCATCACTCTTTTCAAATTTAACAAAATAACAAATGACAATCATTGCACCAAAGTCCATATCTGCAATTCAACAAAAAATTATATAATATATTACTCTATTAATTGTCAAAACTGAATACTATGAATCACAGCTTCAATAACAAGCAAAAGGCCACCCATATTGTTACATAACAGATTTAAGCATAACAAAATGGCATTTTGTAGTTTAAAATGTGTATGTGCCATTTAAATTGGTTTATAATAATAAAATGCCATAAAAAAATGGAGAAATAACTAATTTGCCAACAGGTATATCAATACCACCACTATCGTATTAAGACGACACCTAGCTAGAAAAAATGGCACCCAACTACTGAGAAATGGCACCATTCCAATTTTATATTTTACAGCAAATTTTGATTATCCAATTGATTTTTATCATAGCATACAACTAGAAAATAACAACAAATCGTTAATTTTCAATTTATAAAGCTCACCTTCAACTGTGTGAAATCAATTCTTGCTAATCCACCTTCAAAATTTGCACTATTTGATTTGTCTTGGTTCAGATAAAGAAACTTCAACATGTAACCAATCATTGTAAACAAGAATAATGCATATGAAGAATAATAAAGCTGAATTTGAAGGTGGGTTTAATATAGTGAAAATGGGGTTGGAAATGGGATAAATGAAGGGGATTTAGGGATTTATATTTGGGGATTTGGGTAATATTGATAACCAAACTGGACATTTTAGTCATTTTAATTTAAGGGTATTAAAGACTTTTAATATATAATCAAATAGACTATAGACTACTTGAACATAAAGTACTAATATAGGCTATTTTACCAAATATTATGGTTGAATAGGCTTCTTAAAAAAATCCCCCTTCCTGAATTGGGTCTTCTACATAAATCTCAGCATAACTTGCAATCCATATTAATAAGAATTGGTATTAGAGCATAAGGTTGATTTTCGCATGGCAACAATGAAGTATGATATTTCAATGTTGGATCGAAACATGAGGTTTAGTTATGGCAAGTAAATATGAGAGCAGTTCTTGTGTAGATAGATTTAGGGAAAGTCTTGCTTGGCTTTGATAAGATGCCTTCTACTTGGACGTGGTAAGGGAAGCAGCATAGGGATCAAAAAGTTCTGACTCAAATTTATCTTCACCTTTCAAATCAAATTCTTCAAGATGTTCTAAAGGAGAAAAGTGTCACAGCATTGTAGTTGAAGTTGGAGTAGTTTGCATGACAAAGAGCTTGACTAGCAAGTCACACTTGAAATAGCGCTTGTATTCTTATAGGATGTCTAAAGGTGGGTCATTGGATGATCACTTAACCTCGTTCAAATAAATCGTGGCCGATTTGGACGAGAAGGATTTGGCATTGATGTTGTTGTGTTCATTGTCGCCATCATATGTGACTATCAGAGATACTATTCTCTATAGTCGTGATACTCTTATGATGGAGAAATTCTATGATGCTTTACTATCTAAGGAGAAGATGAGTCATCTTATTGAAGGATTTGAGAGTCAGGTTGATGGCATGATTGTTCGTGGGAGAAGTCAAGATAGGAAGCTTGACAAAACTATGAGGGGTAAGTCGAAATCTAGAGATGTTGGGAAGACATGTCATTATTGAAAAAGAAGGGGGTATATTAGAGCTTACTACTATACCTTGAAAAATAGAAACAAAGCTGCAGGTACCAATGATAAGGAAAAACACCCTGTTGATTCAGGGGAGACTGACATTGTGGCAAACTAGTAAAGTGAAGGAGAGCTTTTTATGATCTTCGATATGGGATCCAAACCTTGTGAGGAATGGGTTCTGGATTCTGTATGTACCTACCATATGTGTCCAAATAGGGACTGGTTCACTATATATGAAGGAGTTTTAAGAGGTACAATGATTATGGGAAACAATGCGCCTTGCAAAGTCGCCAAAGTTTGTACTATCAATATCAAGATGTTCAATGGGATTTTGAAAACAATTATAGATGTTAGGCATGTTCTAGAACTGAAGCGGAATCTTATATCTTTGAGTTATCTTAACTTAAAGGGTTATAATTACATTGGTGAAGGTGCAGTTCTGAAGGTGAGCTTGGGTGCTCTTGTTGTCATGAAGGAACATAAGATTTCTACACAATTGTATGTTTTGCAAGGTTCCACTATTACAAGAGATGCAGCAGTTTCTAGTTTTTCTTTGACTAAGGATGAAATCAGAAACTTTAGGATATGTGGCTTGGGCATATGAGTGGAAAAGCAATGGCAGAGTTGAGAAGAAGGGGGCTTCTTGATGGGCAGAAAACTAGTGAGATGGAATTTTGTGAGCACTGTGTTTTTGGAAAATAGAAAAGGGTCAAATTCTCTATGGAAAGACATGACACGAAGGGAACACTTGAGTATATCCATTCAGATCTCTGGGGCCGGTTAGAGTACCTTCAAATGAAGGTACATATTACTTGATGATAGTAATTGATGATTAATCCATAAATGTTTAGGTATTTTTCTTGAAACAGAAGAGTGATGTGCTTGGAACCTTCAAAGAGTAGAAAACATTGGGAGAAAAGCAGATTGGAAAGCAAGTGAAACATCTATGCACTGATAATGGGTTAGAGTTCTATTCAGATCAATTCAATAGCTTCTGGAGGGCTAAATGCATCTTGAGACACTTAACAGTGCCTGAAACTCCTCAATAAAACGACGTGGCTGAATGGATGAATAGAGCTTTGATGGAAAAAGTTCATTCTATACTTTCAAATTTTGGGTTGTCAAAGTCCTTTTGTGTTGAAGCTACTATTACAACATGTTTCCTGATCAATCGCTTACCCTCAACAGCCATTGAAAATAAAACACTAGAAGAGGTATGGTGTGGTGAACCCTCTTGTTACACTGATTTGAAGATCTTTGGTTGTCTTGTGTATGCTCATGTGAATAATGGAAAATTGGAGCCTAAGTCTAGACAATGTATCCTTCTTATTTATAAATCAGGAGTAAAGGGTTATAAGTTGTGGTGTCCAGAAGAAAAGAAAATGATGATTAGTAGGGATGTAGTGTTTGACGAAGTTGCTATGATTCGTGGAAGACCTCTTGTGGATTCTGGTAAATCTGGATAATAGAATCATTCAACTTAGATGGAGTTTGAAATTGGCCCAGTGAAATAGTCAAAGGTTACAGAACAATCTGGTTCAAATGAGACAGATAGTATTACTTTACTTACTTTACCTACTGATGAGTGATTTACACTCATTATATTATGCCATTAATTTCATGATTTTGCTATCTTGGAGAGCACTTTAGAAGTGCTAACAAGTGATTTTGATGTTGTTTTGTAGATTGATGGAAG